TATATATATATATGTGTATATATATGTATATATATATGGTATCTGTCATCTTTCAGGACAAGAAGAACGCCTCAAAGAAGTGCAAAGATGTGTACACGGAGCTGAGCATCACCAGAGCCAAAGCGGAGAGAGAGATGGACGAGCTGAGAGAGAACCTGAGGCTGGCTCATCACGCTCTGAACCAGACGTCAGCCTGAAAACAACCGATTATACAACAGCAACAACACATTCGTCTTCACTGTAACACGGAGAACTTCTCCTGTAGCTTTACCCACAAGAACGATATTTAAAACAAAGAAGTCTGACCGTGAGTCTTATTTAATGAATCCAGAAACACAATCTCATTTCACACTCCTTTTCTGTTTGGTTTTAAAGTTGTTTATATTGTCTGTGAATGTTTAGATCAGTTATTAACCGTTTTGACCCTGAGTATGTCATTTACAATTTATTTTTAACATGCGTTTCCCAAAAATGGTCCTAATGTTGTGTGTTATGTATATATTGTATCTGTACAGTCATGGTGTTATTGTAACACTTCAATCTGACATGTATGTCTCGCTCTCTAACCTCTGCTGTAAGTGTCGTCATTAAACTGGTCAAGTGTTTTCTTTTTTATCAATTATATAATTTAAATTAAACAAAAATCTTGCAGGTAAATTTACTTGTAATTTATATTTGTAAACTGCAGTATTAAAAACATAAATGTTTTCTATTAATTAAACCAAATTGGCAGATTTAACCAACACTGACACATTGTATTTTATTTTGTTAATGAGACGAAGTTTATAAATGAAAGATTTAAATCAAAGGCGGTTCATATTATATTGTTATATTCAGGCTCCATTTCTGGAGGAAGAAGAAGAAGAAGAGCGTCAAGTCCTGAAAAATAAAGTTCAGCTCTTGTGGCTGCGAGTGATTATTTCAAAAATAAAAGACCTTATTGACATTCTTCTTCTAACAGTCGGACAGAATATAGTGAAAGAAATAGACTAAAATGAATCAGATTCAACAATAAATATAAACTTCTTAAGATCTATTGTACAAACTAATGTGGAGTACTGCTAGTAAAAATGACCTTTATAGATAAAATGTATTTTATTTTGCGTTAACATTTGTCAGTGGTGGAAAGTGACTGCTTTAACCCGAGTACTGTACTTAAGTACAACTTTGAGGTACTTGTACTTCCCTAGAGTAATTCCATTTCATCCTCCAGCCTGCACTGCATTTACTTGACAGCTTTAGTTACTTTTCAGGTCAAGATTTTACATAAAAACATCTAAACATATGTAATGGAGTATTTTTATGTCGTATAAATACTTCTCCACCACTGACATTGACTCACATTAAACGTGTTGTGTAATAAAAAACAGTCAGAGCAGAACTGTCACTTCCTGTACAAGAATTAATCTTTTGAACTTTTTAAATGTATTCTTTTAAACAAAAGAACATAATACAGCTTCAGTACAACCCAAGAAAAGAAGACACTTCTTAAAAAATAATATATTTCATAATGATGGCAATTTACCAACAAAAAGCCTACAAGACACTTAAATATGTCTGTTTTATATATATTTTGATAAGTATGATATACCCAGGCTCTTTTGTTATTGATTTTATTTACATACTATTGAAGAAACCAAACGCTACACAGTCTTCACAGATATGATCAATTACAGATCTGCAAAGGTCTTGTTGCCAGAATTTCTTGTGTGATTTATTTGTCTTCTAATATATTTATTATTTACAAACCGATTCCAATATGACTTGAATGTGGAATCTCTTTGAAAAAGGGCTTTATTATTGAGGGGATGGAGTGAGAAACCATTTATTCCCTACCGGTAAATCATCGGTATGGAAGCTGGAAGTTGAAAGTTAGACTTGATAATAAAAATATCCCCATGGCACTTTTAGTGCATCCATCTGCAACCATGACACAGACCAGATGTTTCCAGTTGCTGTTCAATGAAGGTTGTCTCCTCAGCCACATCGGTTTTATTCTTTCTACTCCAGAACTTTTCATCTGTTGTAAAGCCACGTTTAAAGTAGTCTTCAATGTACTCACAATACATTTCTGTGTCAACTGTAAGGGAAGAGCTGCTTCTATGACTGTTGTGTTTAAGTATCTTATAATTTACACTTTCTATCTCATAAATATGACTTTTTAATTCATAATTTCGATCTACCATGGGGATATTTTTATTATCAAGTCTAACTTTTCATATTTCTCTCGCTTAAACTTTTCATATTTCTCTCGCTTAAATACTTACGCTTAAATAGATGTATGGCTTCCATACATCTAGGTTGAGGGACACGTTTCAAAACTTGTGCATTGCTTCTTGAGGTCTTTTACTTTGAAAGGACGCCGTTCTCTTCCGGTGTTCTACTGGTTTTCTGGTCCGACTTTACGCTGAAGAAAGATGGTCTCCATGATGACAACTTTAAAATACCAACAGTAGCCAGAAGGGGTTCTAACTGCCTGACAGCAAATTATTTAAACAAAAACAATGTTTGTGTCTCGTTATCGCGTCGAGCGTCGGCTAGGTTTGAATTAGCTTAGCGTGCTAACGTTAGCTAGCCAGCTAGTATGGAGTCGCTGCTCTTGTTTACATCCGGTCTTGATGACGGTGAGGTGTGTTAGCTAACCCGGCTACCAGGCGTGTTTTGTGGGGAGAGGGTCCTCCTAAAGCCCCTCTGTGAGGACCAGGACCGGGGGACGTCTGTCAGACCTGCTGCCACCTCAGGGGTAATTTAACACTTTAATAAAACACACATTAGTATTAGTTAAAGTAACGTTACATGTCTTCATTTATAAACAGGTTACATTACCTTTTACGTTACTCATGGACGGGCCTACCTGTTAACAGGTGAGAAAGATCAATTACAGACCGATCCTGATTCTTAATTAATGAATGGATAAATTATATAAATAATCTTTGTGAACTAAATCTAATCTAATATTTGTTTTGGTTGATTTTGTTCCTTCCTGTTACTGTTGCACAGCATATTGAGACATTGTTTTATTTAAATACACTTAAGTTAGTAAATAATTATAAATAAACATAATTAAAATGAATAAAATAGAGCCTGCATCTGTTTCTGCTTCCTGTTTAAGAAACATTTTTACAGCCTTTGTTTACATAATACTTCTCTTCTTTTGGATTTTTTATTTGTGCATTTATTTGAACTGTTTGCTTATATTTTGCTGTTCTTGACTTTTTAATTTTTGCTGTCTACAATGTGCTCCCAGCTTGAACGCTGCTACACAAATACAATAATGAACATGATTATTAGTATTTCTATGACTCCTACAGCTCACCATACACACTAAATATGTGTGCCATGATAAACAGGACTCAGCCAGCTTCTCTTCATCTCCAAAGTGAATCAAAAAACAGAAGTTCGGTGGCTGGGCTGTAATTAATAATTCCAAAACCTGGGGGGAAAAAATCACAGCTTCTAAGAGCCGAAGGTGACGGCGTCAAATGTTGTGTTTTGTAAAAAAAAGAAGAAGATATTCAGTTTATAATGAATTATGACCATGAAAAGCAGCAATTGGTAAGCTTTTTGTGTTTGTGTTTCTGTTATATTACATTTTTTGCTTGAAAAGTCACTGAAACAACAAACCAATCATCAAAATATATATTTTTGTATATTTCTGGTTGTGGTTCACCTTTAGTGTGCCACTGAAAAAGACACAAAACCACCTCAAACAACATGGCGGCATCTCTCTCCGTCTGGGGATCTTGCTTCTCTAGAGATTAAACGATTAGACTATTAATTGAACAGTTGATTGACAAAAACAAATATCCATCAACTGTTTTGATCGGTTGATTTTTCCAGCAGTAATAGTGGAAAAAAAGCCCAAATTCTCTGGTTTCAGCTTCTCAGATGAGATGCTTTGTTGCTTCTCATCATCATGATTAACTGTGAACTGAATATCTTCAGGTTTTAGACTTTTATTTAAACTAAAACAGACATTTGAAGATGTCACCTCGGGCTCTGGGAAGTTATACATGCGTCTCATACACATTAGTACTCCTCAACACCTGCAAACAGACTTTTCTTTTGAAGAAATGATAATAAACTGGTATAAAATGATACATTTCACTGAATTGATGATGTTTGTTGCAGTGATGGAAGTGTCCCCTCAGGACCCTCCTCTCATGGCCATGGACCTGTCAAAGAGCTACTCGGTCAACCCGCTGACCCGCAGCCACACGGAGGCCATGGACCTGGCAAAGAAGCCCGAGTGGTACCACAGACGCCCGCCGAGCTGCAGCACCGACATCAGCTCCCCGTACAGATCCAGAGCCTCGTCCTCCTACAGCGCTCCGCTGCATCCTGAGCCCGGTGCACCTGTCCACTGCAGGGACCCGGAGCAGGGCCCCGAGTCTTTAGGAGACTACGTGAACTCATCACTAGCTCCTGGGTTGGATCTGTACCGCGACGCAGTTCACGGCAGCCTGTGGCATTCGGGGTTCTACGGACCCGACCAAACCGGCGGTCCACTTTTAGAAAGCAGCGGCGGAGAGGAGAGCGACAGCGGCAGCGGCTCCGATGTTATCTTCCTTGTGTCCTCCGCTAAGGAGCCACTCTTATGCACTTCTTTCCTCCAAGACAGCGTGAGGCACATCGTGGAGCCCTTGACCCCGGTTGTGTCCTCACTGGAGGCAGGGAGAGGTTGCTATCACCTACCTCAGCCTCTGAGCTCACCCAGTCCTGACAGCTCGTACTCGGAGGACTCCTCAGACAGTTCGGTGGACATTCCCGTCCATCACACCAGACCCGTGGTACTCCTGTCCGACCTCGGCGCCGTTTACGGCAACCCTGCCGGATCTCCGGTGGACATGACGAGTGATGACAGCGACATCATCGAGGTTTCGGTCACGAGCGAAAAGAAGAAAACATTTCCCTGTAAGAAGAAGAGTCTGGTGAAAGAAACTGCTCCACAGAGCGAGGACGAAAAAGTTCCACTCAGAGAAGTTCGACGTAGCCCCAGAATCCGGAAATCTGTGTCGGAAACGCCTCCGTTCACCTGCAGTGTGTCTCGCCACAGTCTGAGGAGACAAGCCAAAAGCGACGCGGTGGGTATTTATAACGAATGTTGTGACTCTGATGACATGATGGACTACACGGTGAGGTTGTTCAGCTCGGATGCGGACGAGGAGTCGGCCTCGCAGCCGACTGCATCGCAAAGAGCGAGCAGTAACTCTGAGGAGTCCGATGTGGACGTTCCGACGGACAGGAAGTCGCCGCAGAGAGAGTCGGAGGAGCAGCAGAACAAAGCCTCCAACGCCAAAAGCATCAATAAAGGAAAGAAGCCCCCGACGCTTCGTAAAGCTAAAAGCTTGAGGACTAAACAGAAGGAAAACTGCAGCTCCACAGCAGAGCAGCACAAAAAGAAAACAAATAAAAAACCTGTAGCGAGACGGAAGAAAAGAGGTCGCTCACACACCGGACCTTCTGCTCTGTTCTCTCCCAGAGAGCCGGAAATCAAGCTCAAATATGCAAACATGAAAAGGGAGAAAAAGATCAAGAAATTGGGAAGTTTCTGCCCGTTTGTTCACGTGAGGAAGAGGATGTGCACCGTTGTGAACGACCAGGAGGAAGAGGAGACGGTCCGGAGCAGCAGAGGACGGCAGCAGAAAGCCTCCAGCTCTCCGCCCGGGTTCCTTCCCAGTTCGTCCTGTTTCCAGTTGGGTCGGTTCGGCTCGGACGGCCGGAGTCCGATGACGCCGCTGTGCTGCCTGTGCGGTCAGACGGCCAACGCCACGGGCCTCGGGGACCTCCACGGCCCGTACTACCCCACCAACCCGTCTCTAGACCACAGGACCGAGCAGAAAGAGGAAGAACCACATTTACTCGTCAGCAGACGTTCAGTGAACTCCTCCGAGGACGGTCTAGACGGTTACGACTGCTCTGCTGTCAAAGGTCTGCTGGAGGGCGACGGCCACTCTCTCCCTAAGGAGCCTCTTCGTCTGGACGAGGGCTGGATCCACGAGGACTGCGGGATCTGGTCCGCCGGAGTCTTCCTGGTCCGAGGGAAGCTGTACGGGCTGGAGGAGGCGGCCCGGCTCGCACAGGAAACAGTGAGTGAAACACACTCCGACGTCTCATGCATCATAATTAAATAATAGTTTAATTATTTATTGAAGTTCTTGTTTTACATCTTCCAATAGAAGTGATGGGGGATGAAACCCACAGTCGGATCAAGTGTATCAGAGCTTCATTAACTAAGTCTGTTAAATCTTCAAGTCTTCAAATGTCATGTGACCTAAAGACCAAAACCCTCAATGATTTAGTTCACAATAATAAATGATAAAGAAACAGAAAATCCTCACATTTCAGAAGCTGAAACCAGAGATTGTTTCACGACTTTTGCCTGAAAAATTACTCATTTAAGACGATTATCAACAAATCGAATTAATCATTTTAGCACAAAAGTTACTTTTTTTTTTTCTTTTTTTTTTTTCTTTAGCTTGAAACTTCCTCTTTGTTTTACAATCCTCACACAGCCGCCCAGAAAGGAAGCAAAGAGGGATTTTCAAACTAAAAGCAAACTTTGGGACTGAAATGTGTGTTGAGGATCTTTTCCCAGCCAGCATGAAGAGGAGGAATACTTTTAGCATCCAATAACTATTAAATAATGCATAAGAGGATGTGAGTTACTTTATTGAAATACATTTAAGACACAGTAAACCTATCCATAGAGGAAATATTATATATTTAAGTTATTGTGTGCAAAGAGTTTTATGAATGTTTTGTTGTTGTTTTCTGTGATTCTGCATAATAAATGTGCTTTTTATTTCCAGATGTGTTCAGCGTGCCAACAAACAGGTGCAATAATCGGATGTTTCCAGAAGGGCTGCCCCAGAAACTATCACTACAGATGTGCTGTTCAGTCAGGTGCAGTCTGACACATGTGCCACTCAAATACTGCAGCTGTGAAGAGATCAATAAACGAAATACATAAATGTTGTTTTTGTTTACCTGCTGTCTGAACAGCTCGTGTCGGTAAACATTCGTTCTCACTCGGCTTGAAGGGACGAATACTTCTTCAGAACATGAAAGTTTATTTTGTGTGTTTTGTGTTTTTCAGGCTGCGTCTTAAACGAGGAAAACTTCTCAATTCGATGTCCGGAGCACAAAGTAAGTTCAGCTTTAGTGAGAGAGCGTTGATGCGTCTGTTGGTTCACAGTGTGAAGAGCTGCACGGCCTCCGGGGGTCGCTGGTGGTTCATTCAAAATATTGAACTGCATCATGAGTGTTTGAGGAGACTCGTTACATGTTAGTATGAACAACTGCAAGTTAATGGTGATATCTGTAGAATAAAATATGAGGAATAGTTTCATATAAAGTGAACTATAACCACATATAAACGGATAGATTTAAATCCCATATTTAAATATATTTAATGGTACATTTCTTTGTTTTGTTGATTCCAGAATAAATATTAATAACATACTGTAGTAAACAAATATATATTTAATTCCTGTAAACTATAGACTGTAAATAAACAAAAATAAATCTCACGAAAATGTAAGCAGGTAAATGTAGATGCTTGTAGAAAGCATCCCCTGCTTTATGGTCTGTTTGACTCTAAATAGAGCATCGGTTACTAAATGAACATCATGCTGTATTGAAGAAGACTTCAAAACTAGAGATTGAGACCATAAACTCATGTTTACAATGTTTACTGAGGTAATAAATCAAGAGAGAAGTAGAGTCATTTTCTCATAGACTTCTATACAACCAGAGGAGTCGCCCCCTGGTGGACACTAGAGAGAATGCAGCTTTAACACATGAAGCTTTGACTTCACTTTAAAGAACCGGAGGTTTATTTATTTATGTGTCATCAGATAAATCCTAAAGATTTCTGTTTCTGACGGACAGCCGCTGTGAGAGGACAAGGTCCTGGAAGTAAAAAACATGTTAACCTACAATACATTGTAGTACCCTGTAGTACCCTGTAGTACACTAATACACCGTCACACATGTCCTGCTTTTGGAAAAAATATTCTGGTGAGTTTATTTATTTGTTTGTTATAATTGTTAATAATGTGCGTTTGTATCCGACAGAACAAATTGTTGACCGTTGTGACCCGACAGCACAAGAGATGACGCGGAAGACATTTGGGGGAACTGGAGGTATTTAACATTGAAACGATTAAAGCTGCTTGTTTGTAGAGATGCAACTAATCTGTAACTATTTCAGAAATTAATGAATCGTTTGATCCTGAGCATCTCTGTAAACGTGAATATGACAATAAATAACTTGAAATTTTTTTTCTCATATTTTTAGACCAAACAAACGATTGATCAGATTATTTTCATCTCTACTCGTATAAATGTATAAAAATATAATAATAATAATATGTCCATAAATACGTTTCTGTATCTTTATTGTCTTTCTTTCTTCCAGAACGATCCACAGATCTCCTCAGGACGTGATCGGCCTGATTTCACCTCGGAGGTTTTTATTAAACACGAACTAACGAGAGTTCACGTGTGTTTGCTCGAGCAGAAGGAAAATCTTCTGGTAAGATTCCACATCAGAGACGATCCATCAGGGGCCACTTTAGGGGTTTTATAAGGTGTGTGTGTGTGTGTGTGTGTGTGTGTGTGTGTGTGTGTGTGTGTGTGTGTGTGTGTGTGTGTGTGAATGGGTATTTATTCCTCCACACTTAATGTCACAAATACAGTTTTATTATTTGAGGATAATAATTAGCGTTAAACGATGTATTGATTGGTTGTTTAGGAGGAGATCTTTATATAAAGCCACTTTTCTTTCTACAGTATTTTTTACTACTTTTCGAATTCCTGTCGTTCTTCAGTCATCACATAACAAAAAGTTATTTATTTTCATAAAGCTGCATGCACAGGTGATGTTTATCGGTGATTATTTATGTCTATTTGTAGACTTTAATCTTCCCCCTTTTACTAATATTATTTAAAGTTAGAAGTCCTGTTTGAAGCCTCTGAGACCACAAACTGTACGTTCTCCTTCTTATCACATTTATTCAAACAAATCTCTGATCAACAGCAGCGGTCAATGTTCCTGTAAAGTTTTCTCTTATTGTGACGTTACAAGACTGAAGAAAGTGCCGAATTAAAGGGTCGCTTCAACAAAATCACAAAAAAGAATTAAAAACTATTTTAATTGTGATTTTAATGATTTATTTAAAAAACACAAATTCCAGCTTCTGAAATGTGAGGATTTGCTTCTGCTCTTTGTTTCACATCATTGATGATTTATTAGTATTTAGTGAATGTTCAGACAAAACAAACTAATATTTCTTTGGAACTACAGTTCCCATGATTGTTGGTATTGGGGATGTAAACAGGAAGTACTCTGTAGTATTTGTGTAGATTTAGTTTTTAGTGTTCACACAGACGTACAGACGACAGTTACTGGATTACTTTAAACAGAAGAACACTTATAATAGCTTACAGTGAGCCTCTTTTCTTCTACCAGGATTTATGGACATTTATTTGATTAAATATGAAAAAAGGTTGATTTTGTCCTCATTAAATCAAACTGTACATAAAGTCCATAACTTGACAAAGCGACGCAGTGAAATGTATTTTTGTGATTTGGGTGAATTGACCCTTTAATATGTGGTGGAGCTTTAATGGTCGTCTGTTTCTGAGCTCCTGTCAATGTGACGGACGACTCGTTCATTGTTTAACACGTTCCAAGTTTTATCATTTGAGGGATGAAAAAGATAATTAATGTTATTTAATAAAAGTCAATAAAACTGAACTCTTGTCTTTGTCCGTCTTTAAATAGACCAATAGATTTAAATAGAGCAATTGGTTCGTTGTGATGAAACCAAAATGTATAAAATTAAAATTTCTCCTTTTCTAATTATTATTGTTCTTGTTTTTGTTCTCAAAGGATTAACACAGGATGTGTGATTTACAGCAGCAGCTGAACGTGTTAATACAGTTTAATAATCTGAGTGTTTTCACACGGAGCTCTGCTTCTGGAGTCACTTTGATGGAAATAGTTCCAACACGTCGTAGCGTTAGAATCTATTTCTATAAACACGTCACAGCTCTGCTCCGTCACTTCAGCACCAGGCTGATGTGTAGACCTGCGGCAGCGTGAAGAAGCTGCTTCTTACTCAGAATAGAAACGCTGAGACATCCCGAAACATCCCGAGACATCC